GAAAGGTGCCACAAAGACAGATCGGTTTAGGGACCATGGAGCCCAAGGAATAACATGGCAGTGCCCCTGCCATGGGATGGGCTTGATGTTCTTCCTCCTGCATCCCAGACTGAGTGTTTGAGAAGCCAACCGTCAGCAAACGCTAATGGGTCAAACAAAAATTCAACTGTCATCAGGTGTATTCAGACCCAAATATATCCCAACTGAAGTTTCTGTTCTTTCAAGTCGTAGTACCAGGAGAGAGCCTAACAAGAAATGTTTCCACAGATCTCTAGTCAAGCCAAATACCACAGAAACATTTGCCACCTACTGGGGCCTAGAGGAGCTTTCATCTCTGCTGGGTCATAAGCCCCTCTTCATGGTGCTACCAGAGACCCGGAGGGCAGCCTTGACTTTCATCCGTGTTCACTAGTAATGAGGCCCCTTCACACTCTCTGCTAGGCTGGTAAGAGAAGGCCTGTTGGAAACTTTCAACTTCATTTTCACTGCTCAATGTTAACCAAGTAAACCCCCTTCCCACAATTTCACGGGAGGCCACAGAGGACATTAATGAAAAGTATTACTACTATCAGCCAGAGTGTTTTAACAATCAAGGTCCAATAGGAATGCTGGACTTTTATCCCAACCTTGGTGGTGCTCTGGATTGGCTGATAACATAAAGGTCAGTGGTTCAAACCCACCAGCCATTCCCCAGGGGAAAGAAAAGGGTGTCTGTTCATGTGAAGAAGCATAGAGTCTTGGAAACCTGGTATGTGGGGTCACTTTGAGCTGGAACCGACTTGATGGCAGTGGGTTTAGAGTTGGTCTATTAGTCTGGGTACTTTAGAGAAACAAATCCGCAGAAACACATATAAGAGAGAGCTATATAAAGGGTAAATGCGCATCAAGAAAACATCCCAACCCAGTGCTGCCCAAGCCCACAAGTCCAACATTAACTCATGCCTGACACCAATCCACAAAGTCCTCCTCCATCTCACAAAACAGACGCAATGACCCCGACTGCAGGAGGAAAGCTGAGTCAGGGCTGCATTGGGGTAGGTCCATTTGGCTTCTCCTCAGGGATGTCTTGCAGGAAGTGAGCCTTGCTAGCTAAGGCAGGGAGCTGGCTAAGGCAGCTGCACTCTGGTCTGACCATCAGAAAGCAAGAGATCCAAGAACTAGGAAGGCGAGGCTCACCAAGCCATTTATCCCTCAGCCCTTCAATTACCCCACATGTGTTTATCAGCCAGGTTGGCACAATAAACTAAAGACCTCAGTTGGCAATAATGAGGCAGCCCCCCCCCCACAACCCTCCCGCGTCGCAAACTACAGTGGTTTTAGAAGAAACCTGCTAACACAGGATTTAAGGAAGATCACCCAAAATGATCAGGACTTACTAAAAATTCACTCTCATTCCAAGAATCAGGACTCTCAAAATGAGAGAAGTCAGTCAACAGATGCCAGCACCAAGGTGACACAATTATCTGAGAGGGATGCGAAAGCCATTACAAAATGCTCCAGTTGGCAATTTACAAATACCCCGGAAACAGGAAAACCAAAATCGTATTAAAGAAATGAGACAGAATTAAGTGTCAATAAAATCTGTGGATGCATTCAACAGCAGACTGAAGAGGACAACGAATGGTACAGACAACTTGAAGATACTGAGCAATGGGAATCGGCCAGTGTGTAAACAGAAAATTGACAGAAAAAGTAAACAGAACCTCAGAGATGTGGGGCTATCACGAAATCCAGCAACCGAAATCTGGCTAATCGCAGGTTTCCCTGCTTCCCTAAATTTTCTTAAACTGTGTTAGTAGTTAGAGCAAAATGTATATGGTTTTTTTGCATGTCGAGAAAATAAAAAGGCTCTCCGGGAGTGAAATAGTTAAGCTCTCAGCTGTAACCTGAAATGTGTGGTCTGAACCTCCTCAGCTGCTCTAGGGAGAAGGGGGAAAATGTAGCAATCTACTTCCTTAAAGATCACAGCCAAGTAAACCCCACAGGACAGTTTTGCTCTGTCTCATGAGGTTGCTCTGAGTTAAAAATCTACAGAACCAGACAGACAAAAGGAAATAAGATGATTATTAAATGACAGCCTAGAGAGAAGGTTTCTACACTTAACTGGTAAAATTTTACACTGATAGATCTTGATGTGTTATTTGATGTCTAGACCACTAAAAGGCTATATTACTAAGGGACATGCATAAGCTATCTAAAATGCAATAAAACAATAATGCCCACAGGAAGACAGGAGAAAGAAAACAAATGGAGAAAATAAAGCAAAACAAAATGTCAGACTTAAACATTAACGTATCGATTATTCCATGAAAATTATCTAAATTATCAATTCAAATACAGACATTGACAGAGTTTTAAGCAAAGAGATGGCCTAAAGATCTGCTGCCTATAACAAAGTCACTTTGTAAATTACTGTATAAAAACTCACATCAGTCTGGTCAGTGCTGACTAATGGCAACCTCCTGTGGGTGTCTGAGACTAGGACTTTATAGGACTAGAAACCCAGTCTTTTTCCCGGGGAGCTGCTGGTGCTTTTGCAGTCTGACTCATAACCACACCACCACCATTAAATCACCACACATGTACATAGAACTCAAAATGATAGAAAACACGATGTACAAAATTAGGCACTGGATTGACTATATTAATAGAAAAGGTTTCAAAACAAAAATTTTTTAAACTTGGGAAATACAGAGAACATTAATTCATGAAGAATCAACTTACCACAAAAGCATAACATTCTTAAATATGTATGCACCAAACAACAGAACTGCAAAGAAACAAATTGTGTCTTACTCACGGAGACAGAGCTATATCTACAATTACGGTTGGAGACTTAAGCACCATTAGTCAGTCCAAAAAGGATATAGAAAAGTCCAACTACTCCATCCACCAACAGGATCTAATTGGCATTTAGAGCACTCTACCCAGCAATAGCAAATAACACATTTCAAATGCCCATGTGCTATACCAACATAGATCCATCAGACAAAACACATTTAAAAGAATTGGGATCTCAGCGTGTGTTCTCTGACCATAGCGGAGTCAAACAGGAATTGATAACAGAACGAATCTGTTTGGAAAGTGAATACACAGGACCCCTGGTGGTGCGGTGGTTAAAGGTGACCAGACATCCCGCTTTTGGCGGGACAATCCTGATTTTTAACAATTTGTCCCGCGTCCTGCCGCGTTTTAAAAAAGTCCTGATTTTTGGAAAGAATGCACGACAAGCTAGGGTATACGGTTTTCGGCTGCCATGTGGCTATTTTGCCAGGATATGAGTTTTATTAATGGTGTCCCGCTTATGTCTCGCTTTACCAATGTTAAAATCTGGTCACCTTAGTTTAAACCCACCAGCTGCTCTGCAGGAGGAAGATGTGTGCCTATACTTCAGTAATGATTTGGGACTTTGAGGAAACCCTATGTGTGGTGTTCCACAGGATCTTTGATGGCATGGGGTTTGGGGTATCAGCAAGGGAGTTTCAAAGAGTTTGTGGAAATGTGGAATTAAAAGATCATTAATGGGACTTTCCCACAAACTTTTTGAAGCCCCTGGTGTATATATAAGTAAATGGAAATTTAAAAAGTTTGCACCGAGGAAAAATGGAAAGATTACTAAATGCTTAATGTCAAAAAGTCAAAAAGGGAAAATCTCAAATCAGTCATCTAAGATCCCACCTGAAGAAACGCAAAAAGAATCAAAAGCAAAAGGAAGGAAGTCAAGGTAAGGGGGAGCTCAATGACATTAAAAACCATACAAATCACTGACTCTGGAAAGACAAATTCATAAGCTTAGCAAGACGAACAGAAAACACGGCACAGATTACCTGTTTAGGAATGAAGCAGATTACCAGTGCAGACAGGAAGAGGCTGACGGGTGCCAGGAACAACATTCCGCGTATATTTGAAAACTTCAAAAGAAACACCAATTCCTTGAAAACTATAAACTGACTCAGCAAATATGAAAGATCACTAGAATAACTTGTTATTAAAGGATATTGAATCTGTAGTTAGAGCTGCCTGAAAAAGAAACCTCTAGGTACATAAAGTTTTATTGGAGAAGTCATCAGACATTTATAAAGATTTAAATCCAACTCAATACAATGCCTTAACAGAAAACACAAGAGGAAGGAATGCTACCCAAATTACCTTGAAACCCACCCCGGACAAACACTGTACAAAAACACGACGGTCACAACCCATACTCTCATTAGTACAGATCGCGGTTTCCCAAAGCGGGTGATACCACGCCCTAGGGGAAGCTGGGAATTAGCCAAAAGCAAAAACCAAACTCACTGCCGGCCAGTCTGTGCCAACGTAGCGGCCCTATAGGACAGGGGAGATCTGCCCCTTCACATTTCTGAGACTAACTCTTTATAATAGGGGTAGCAAACCCCATCCCTCCTCCTCAGAGCTCCTAGAGATTCCAAACTGCCAACTTCAAGGTTTGCAGCCCAACCCATAACCACTACCCAGCAGACCGCAGGGAGCGCCCACGGAGCGTGCCGCAGCAATAGCTACGCTTCATCGTGGGTTGTGGGATACAGTACAAAAGTACGTTGTTTTGTTTTTTCCTGAAATAAGGCTAATAAGCCATATAAGGGTGAGCCTGTGATACCGATGCAAAGATTCTTAATAAAATATTTGCGAATTGGATCCAGCGAGATGTTAGCTATGACCAGGTGGAGTTTATTCCAAGGATGCAGGTGTGGGTCCTTAAATGAGGATCCGTCCATGTTGACCACTATAAACTACGTTCCCACCAAAATGAGGTGGGAAAGCTGAACCCTGCCAATTAGTCCGTCACGCCACCCACTGACCTCTGTGTTCTAGGCAAACTTTCTGTGAAAACTTTAACTTAGAAGATTATTTTTTCAATAATCTTCAATGGCAAAGGATTAAGCAGGTTCAGTAATCACTGGAAATGGAGTTGGATTGGTAACACAGGAATGAAATAAAGCCTGGACGTTACCAAAGAAAAGAAAGTGTAGAAAAGGTACCTGATTTTGCTGCTTGAGAAGGTGGCAGGCTGTGGTGGCAAAAAACAAGGAAGGAGGCTGGTGCTTCTTGATCACTTTCCAGGACAGCTGGCCTAAAGGGAAAGGTCAATGGAGGGGCAATTAATCACACACGTTTTATTCCTAGCATCATCAATCAAACGGTCGGAGGTCAGATGGGTCAGGGGTCGGAATCGTCTGCTCTCAGCGCAATAAGGACCTGCTCAGCTTCTTCCTGTCAGCACTTGGCCTCTTCAATAATGAATGTTTACCTCGCACTGTTTCACATTGCCCTGTCTTCCCCCACCCCGAAAACTTGATCCTCAGCATGAAAAAGGAGCAGGAAGTGAGGGGGAGCTCAATTTAAAAAAATAGTGGGGTAGGGGAGCCCCATACACACACTTTACAGCTCAGCCTCCTCCCTGTTTGTCATAGCTCTGCATGGGCCTCTCACAAAGGCTTGCTGCCCTCTGTCGGGCTGCTAACCACAAGGTCAGCGGCGGGGAACCTCCAGAGGCTCCAGTGGGATAAAGATGGACCTTTCCACTCGCTTCACCAGTGACCGTCTGGGAAACCCACATGGGTCACTGCCCTGTTCTGTAGGGCTGCTATGAGTCGGCATCGACTCCCTGGTAGTGAGTTTGAACTTGAGTTCTTACCCAGGCGAGCCTCAGCTTCACGTCAAGGTGGATGATAGTCACTGCATCTCAGTGCTCTCAGACCATCTTACTTAGCCAGGTTATTTATTTACAAGAATGGGAGCAGCTTTCCAATGGCAAGGGAGTCCGTCCTACGTCCCCACCTGTGTTCTCTGAGGTTCAGCTTTCCTCTGCTTGCCACAACTTGACCCGGGGAGCAGGGACCGTGAGCACACGACTGCAGCGCCATTGGCTGAGTGGAAGCAGGTCCTTGCACTTCCTGGAGCCTTGATTTCCTTTTCTGTACCTGAGGGGGTGGTGAGTCCCTTGACGCTCACATACCTTCTTTGATTTAATTGATTGAACTCCTACCGATAGCCGCTGCTAGTTAGTTGTGTGAAGGAGTTTTCATAAAAGCTTCGGAGAAATGAGTCCAGGCCAGTGAATGTGGAGTTCGGGGAGGGTGGCTGGGAGAAGTCAGTCAGTGTTCCCTGTGAAAATCGCCGGTTTGTATCCATACAAGCTACCAGAAGCTGTAGCCTCCAAAGGCAGAAGTTTCCACAGTCTTGACAAACACACACCCATCCTGCCAGGAGCACTTTGTGAAACAGTATATTCCATTGTTAGAATTTTGAGCTGCAATTGGCTTCACTGAGCAGCCACTCATAGGTCCTGGTTGCGCCCTTGGGGTCTCTGCAGGAACAAGGGCAAGTCTTAGCCTCCTCCATGGCTTTCAGGTGGTTACCAAGTAGCAGCCAGGGCGCTCCTTGGAGTCTGCTCTTCTAAGCTCCACCTCCCAAGCGCCTTCCTTGCTATATTGCCTTCCACCTGGGGGCTGTTCCCTGGCCTGCCCCGCCCCAAGCCATCTTCTCTGGGAGCCTAATCTTAAAAAGATCAATGAGGGCGGAGGGAGAGGGCTAACAAATGTGTGAGCACATGCCCACCCGTTTCTAGTCTTCAGCCTCAGTATCTTTTTATTTGCGAGTTCCCACCTCTACTGAAGACACAGCTTTATATGGAAAGGGCTGATTCCCAAAAGCCATGGGGGAAGACTAACTTCTTTCAAAAGTGACCCTCTGAGCGGATCAGGTGATAGGACTAGAAAAGCAGTTGGGAAAAGTCTCTGAGCAAACTCAAGGAGCCTTGGTGGCATCGTGTTTGCACATTGGGCTGCAGTCCGCAAGGTCTGCAGTTCAAAACCACCAGCTGCTTCTCAGGAGGAAGACAAGGCTTTCTACTCCCCATAAACAGTTGCAGTCTCAGAAACTTTTCTGCCCTGTCCTTGAGGGGTCGCTATGAGTTGGCATAGACCCAATGGCAGTAAGTTTGGTTTGGACCAAGCTTAAGTTTCTCCCTTGTCCCGCCCCCTCATTCTAACACCTGGTGACACTGCTGCTCAGAAGGAAGCTAGCTGCCCATGTGTTGGTCTGGGGGTGAGGGGTTGGGGGGATTTGCCCTGTCATTGCCAAGCTGAGCATAAGCAGGCTTAGGAAACCAACTGTAGGCCCAAGAGATATATAAGGGGGCTTCGAAGTTTGTGGGATATGGAAGTTAAAGATAATGGCATTTTCCCACAAACTTTTCAAAGGCACCTCCTCATCCTTTGGGAGAAGAAACGGACCCTGCCACGGTGGACCATGGACAAGCGTGGCAGACACGGGCAGTACTTGGCTTGAGGAGGCCGCAGAGGATGTGTGGGAAAGACTCCCAAGACTGAGTTAGTCGTAAGTCTCATTCTGCTCTGAATTCAGTGTGTATAGCAAAAGGTATGGGCCGTTCCATTCCTTGACTTCCATTTTCCTCATGTGTAAAAACGGGCCGAGCGCCACTTTTCCCACCTTGAGTCAGAACCCGTGGGACACAGCACAGGCCCTGTGGGAGACACTGAAGAGTCTTGAATCAGCGAAAACAGCTGCACGTTCTGTCCTGGACTTCACTATCCAGCAGAGAGAAAGATCTGCCGAGGAAGTAAAAACACTGCCACCAAGTTGATCCAACGCACAGCAAGCCGAGAGGACAGAGTTGAGCTGCCCCTGTGGGTTTCTAAGAGAAACTATATGAGGGTAGTGGCCCTTAGCGTCTCCCATGGAGGAGCCGGGGTTTCGAACTGTGGACCTCGTGCTTCGCCGTCTAAGTGTGACCCCCTTTACCACCAGTGCTGCTAGCTGAAAGATGGGTGGTTCAAACTGAACAACGGCCACTCGTTTTGTGGGAGAAAGATGTGGAAGTCTGTTTCCAGAAAGCGTCTGAAACCCAGCCCATTGCTACCTAGTCTATTCCAACTCATAGGGACCATATAGGAAGAAGGGAGTGGAAAGGCCCCTTTGAGTTTTTGCATCTAAATCTTAGTGGGAGCAGTCACCCTCATCTTTCTCCCATGGAACACTTGGTGGGTTTGAACCACTAACCTTGAGGTTAGCAGTTCACTTAGTAACCCACTACACTAGGGTTCCTTCCATAATTATAGCCCCGGAAAGCCTATGGGGTAGTTCTACTCCATTCGAGGGTGACTTTGAGTTAGAATTGACTCAGGGGCAACAGGTGTGGATTCTCGTTTTCTTTCTTTCGGCGTGTGTGTGAGCACTGTGAAGGAAACTGTAGTTGAGTACTGACATCTGGAGGGATTCTGCTTGTTAACTACGTGGGGAGTGGCCTGTGATTGTGATGGAGGAGTTATTTGCCAGGCTAGAGTGGCTGAATCGGAGGATAAAGGGCTGAAGCACTAGGCAGGGATCAGATCTCCCAAACCCCTGTCAATATTTTCATCCTTATCTTCAGAACAACCAGAAGCGTTCATGGCAAGGATTGGCCTGGAAAAGCCTTTTCATTACATGTTTTATTTACTTGAAGGGGCTCTAGTAGTGCAATGGATTATCAGTGGGGCTGCTAACCACAAGGTCAGCAGTTTGAACCCACCAGCCACTCTGAGGGAGAAAGATGCAGCTTTCTGTTCTCATAAAGATTTACAGCCTCAAAACCCCAAGGTGCATGTTCTACTCTGTCCTACCGGGTCGCTATGATTCAGAATTGACTTGAAGACAGCGTGGCTTTGTTTTGTTAATGAACTTGAATGGGGAAAAAATACATATTTATGTTTACTAACCTGTAACTCAAATTCCATTTTTCTTCAATTATACAAGTAGGCAGCCAACCATGATAGTATTAGCTCTTAACCGGGCGTGGTCGCCCTTAAAAGTCAAATATTTCCTCACACTATAGTTGCTGCCAATGTTTCAATATCATTTATTCTGACTGCTCTGATAATGTAGCGAGACAGTGAGATAAAGCAGGGCCCTTGACACGGTGGATCGGCACGGTGGCTGCGACAATGGGCTTGAACATAAGAACAACTGTGAGGCTGGCGCAGGACCGGCCTGCGTTTCCTTCTTTCGTACATCGGGTCACTGTGAGTCGGAATGAACTCGACTTTGAAATGAACACTACGTGAAGATGTAGATCTGCTGTTATGTCCTATTCTCACCAGTGAAAGAGCACGTGTGGTGCCGCGTGGGACCAGGAGAGCTGGAACTTGTCGGGGCTGCCTTGATATTCCAGGCCCGGGAGCATTCTGCCTTTGGCGGTGCAATGAGCGCACTCCTCTGCCCTTGTTTTAGTGGGAAATAGCACAATATTCCTTCTCACTTACATAGGTTCCAGCTTTTTCAGGCTTACTCTATAGTATGACTCTGCCTTTGGAAATGTTGATGTCTTTTTAAATAGAATTAGTTCCCTTGCCCTGTGTTTCAAAGCATTCTGTCTCTCTTTAAAAAAATTTTTAGTGTGAGAAGTTTATGCTTTGAGTGCTATCTTTTTTCTTATGGGAAGAGGGTGGTCAGAAGGGAAAAAAAGCAACATGCTTTAGGTGAAAGTTCACAAATCAGTTCTCCATTCAGATATTGTGTTTTGTGACATTAATTGTATTCCCCTCCATGTGACAGCACCCCTCCCACTTTGTCTCTGAGTCCCCGCTCCCCTTCCGTCCTGCCGCTTGGTTTCAGAGGGCAGTTGTTCTGAGCAGCACACTCCTCGGGGACATTCACAGGCCCTTTATAAGCCTCTGGTTTGGCTGAGAGGTGATCTCCGGGTGTTAGTTCAGGTTCAGGTGTGAAGGGGGTCAAAGGCAGAGTTTTGAAGTTTACATCAATCACCAGGTCTAGTCTTTTTTCATGAATTTGAGTCTTGTTCAATATGTATCTCCCACTGTGAAATAGACAGGACTTCCTATAGTCACAGCCAGACCAGGTGGTAGTGGTAGCTGGGTACCATCTACTTCTTCTGGTCTCAAGGTAGAACTATCCTTTGCCAAACCCATAGGTGCTCCTGGATGTGCTCCCACCCGCCATGCCACATTTGCATGGGCATCAGAAACATGAAGGCGGTGAAACCTGGTGGCAGCTTAATTTTCACCCAGATGAATTTACAGAGACTGTTTAACAAAACGCCTTTATTCCTGTTTTTAAATGAAATGGAACGTTAGGCGCCTGCACAAAATAGGTACAGGAATTTTTTTTTCATGCTATGCTTAACTCTTCTTCATCACAGAAGACGCTAGAAAAGATCAGCTGAAACAAAGCAAACTAGAAACCAGGCACTCTGAGATGCAGCAGTATATAAAGAAATCCCTCCTGATTTTATGTGCGCTGCGTGGTAAGGAAGGGTTAGTAGTCATCATAGTTGACACTGGCTCCGTGCCTGAAGCTGTAGGGGTCGCGGGGACCAATCGCAGTATCTTCATCATAGTGACGTTGGTAGTAATCACCATAATACTCGTGCCCATTTCGGTTTCTGTTCAGCCAGTAGGCAACATCGTCTTCAAATTTCTGGAGGACGAGAGAATTGATTTAATGATACCTAGCCCCTTAGACCACATCTGACCTAGGGCCTAGCTCGGTGGTGATTTTCTTCCATGCTTAACAGTCATACGAGGAATAACTTTGTTGTGATAGCCCTGTGCCCAGAAGTCAATATTAACCAGCGATAAAGGACTTGGTATAAAGGCTCTTTTCCCCCAACGGCATGCATGCCCATCTCTTTGAAAACGTATCATACTACTTCTAAATCTGGCCCAGATTTTAATTTTGTTTCTCTCTTTTTGGCAAATAAAATGAACAGTTGCCAAAGGCAGTAACAACCTGGCCTGCCTCGTAGGCTCTGCCAACATCTGAATGTAGGGAGACGGCCTTCACCGTTCCGTCCCGTCCCTCTGCCGGGACCACAGCCCATCACACAATCACCTGGTGCCATCCAGTGGGTTTCAGCTCACAGCGACCGCCAGGGGAGAGCAGAACAGAACTGCCTCACCGGGTTTCCAGGGCTGTCCATCTTTACGGAAGCAAATTGCTGTGTGTTTCACCCGCCAGGGCACCTGGTGGGGTCAAACTGCTGACCTTTCCATTAGCAGCTGAGTGCTTAACTGCTGTGACACCAGGGTGCCCACATTGTGCATACAGTAGGTGCTTGGTAACTGTTGGCTAGGGAGCCAATCACTCCACTGTCATGTTACAGCTATGGCAAAGAATAGTTTTGGTCGTCACTTCTATACCTCTACTGGCTAGAGTGTGTGTGTATTCATTTCACAAACATTTATTACATGGACACAGCACAGCAGGCACCATGCTAGGTGCTGGACACACACACACACACACACACACACACACACACACTCCCTGCCATCAAGCCTACTCCAACTCATAGTGAGCCTGCAGGCCAGAGGAGAACTGGCCTTGTTTTTGAGAGTGGGACTCTGGATGGGAGTAGAGAGCCCTGGTCTTTGTCCCTATGCAGCCGGTGGCCCCAGAGCAGAGGTCCTCAAAACAAGACACTCCTTGGATTTAAGAAGCTGCCATGAGAGACAGGGTGGTTGCAGTTCATAAGAAAGGAGAAAGGCCATAGATGAGTAAGTGTAGAATGACATTCAGATTGACAGCTTGGACAACTGTATTGGCTATCCTGTGTTTCTCAAAGCATATGAGGTTTTCTTTAGTGATGGTGAAGGTGCACCATGTATCAAGAACAAGACTCACGTGTTCATGAGATAAGGTGAGAGAGTGAGTGTGAGGGGCAAGAAGGAGGGCAGTGAACTCTCTATGACCCTAGAGAACCAGATAGGGAAGGTTGTGAGGCTGTCAAGAGCACGGTTCAAGTTCCTCATCTGCGGAGCCTGGGCTTGAGCCATGTGAGGAGCCCCACCTCAGCCCCGGGGTCTCTAATGGAAACACTGAGGGCCCTGCCTCCATCCCCACCTTCCTAGTCTCCCATTACAGAAGAAACAAAATGACTGTTTTCTTTTGGTAGCCAGAAAATCGTATTCCTTGGCTTTTGATGGTTAAAAGCTTGTTTCGAGTTTTGGCTAAAATATATCTTTTGACTAATTTTTTTAATGAATCAAAAAATAATGCAGCGTTCTCAGTATGTAGGAGTGGATTACATATTAAAGAGGATTAAAAAAAAAAGGATTACACCATCCCACTGCTAAAGACAGCCTGTTGTGCAGCGAGTCCTCTGGCCTCGCCCATGCACACGTTGTCACTGTCATCGTATTGCGTAGCCATCTTCATTCTGGTTTTGTCATCAGACAGACATCTGTCCTTGTGACACCCTTGGAACCCATTTTAATGAACCGACTGATAACAGGGACTTGGCAAATGCTAACGAAACTGACAATCAAGGAAATGCAAATCACACCAATTTTACCTTTCAGATCAGTAAATACATATATCAATGAGAATACCAGGTAACACTGAAAGTACTAAAAAAGTTGTATTCCCATACATGAGTTTGACAAGACTTAAGCCATAAAACCTTTAAACATAAAGACTTTTCTCCCCGTAATCCTACTGGCCAGAATACAATTTTAAGTGAGGAGGAATAATACAAGTAATCGTATTTTCCTTGGGATTCTTGTGAATGTAAGGTGTGGAGTTTGGCTATACACATATGTGTGTATCTGTGGGTATGTCTATACACACACATTGTGATAGGTAGGTTTATATATGATATACATGTATACATATACATGTTAGCAAAAGATAAGAAATGAGAAGCAAATGTGATACATCTGCATGATTTAATTTTATGCAGTCACTAAACATGTTTCAAAAGAGGTTTTGTTTTGTTTTTTTACCCACTGCAAGATTTTATATTCCCTATATGCACAACCCCTACTGAAAAATAGTTCCAGCTGCTCCGGTTGGAAGTACTTGCCCTGGAAACACTCACTGAACACCTGGTCGGAGACAGTGCAAGTATGTGTTCTCCCTGCCTCTAAGTCTTACATATGTGAGGGTTTCAAAGAACTCATTAAAAGATCATGGAATTGGCACACAATGTTTTTGAATTCTCCTCATACACCTTTAGTGTATAGCCTAATGAATCATTTATGATTCATACCAACCCTACGTAGGGTCTCCAAGACTGTGAAGGTGATGGGAGCAGCCAGCTTTCTCCCTTGGAACTGGTGGATTTGAACCATTGACCTTGCAGCTAGCAGTCCAACATTTACCCAACATCACCACCTGGCAAGAGCTCAATTCATTCTTGTCAATCATTCTGTAAGGACTCCTGGGTGCAAAAGCTAAGCTTTTAACAGACTTGTCTGACTTTTCCCTGCCATTGTCTTCTCTGTATCTGTACCCCAGGTGGGAGTGCGACTCTAAATCGTCTTTGTCTTTAATCCAGTGAACTTGCCCATTAAACCTATCCATGAACTGAAAATCATCTTTTTGATCAAATACATTGGCAACCCCCCCCAAAAAAAATCTGAGAACAATTTTCTCCTTTAAGAAGTCACTTTGTATCTCTTTCCATTATCTTGATGTCTTTAAATTGATCTGTGGTAGCTGACCTTTTCTTAGGTAAAACTGAAACTGTTTTAGGGCATTGTGAGTTATTTTTTTTTAATTGGGGGCTCATACAACTCATCACAATCCATACATACATCAATTGTGTAAAGCACATTTGTACATTTGTTACCCTCATTATTCTTTTCATTGTGAGTTATTTTGAGGGCACCTCGGCCAACTCATACAGATCATTTGTAGGGTTCCCAGGAAAAACAGATTCTTCACGAATCTAAAGCCGCACCAAGCAGCAAGCACACACAAACAGATGCCAAGTCGATCCTGACTCATAGCGACCCTATGCTTCACAGTAGGACTGTGTTTTCGTTGGTTACTTGTTCAGAGGTAAGAAGCCCAGAGTGGACTCAACGGTTACTCTTTCCGTTAGCAGCTGAGCACGAGAGCCACTCGTGCCGCCAGGGACTCCGGAGTCAACCGAAGCCTTGGGAGCCTTGCCTTGCAGGCCTGTCCTCACTGCAGGACTTTGATCTGGGTTTAGTGTGGTGGAGGACATTCAGCAGATGGCACTTGGGTGTACAAGGGGGGAACGAATGTGTTCAGAGTGAATAATGCAGCCTATATTTCCCCAAGCCGTCCCTCTGCCCTCCGTTGCCCCACACCAGAAGACCTGCTCCGGGAAGGGCCACCTACTGCTTCATCGAAGCCCATGTAGAGGAACTGCTGGTACCACTGCTGCACCTCCGGCCGAGTCCGGTCCCACAGCTGCCGTCTCTGGCGTTTCGGGCTGCCCAAGAACGCCTTGGCTTTGTTCTCATCAACAGCCACGTCAGTCGTTGGTGGAACGGATTCTGAAATGATCAATTCCCGCCCCCAAAAGACAGAGAATTATTGTGTCTTACTAGGGTGAGTCACTGTTAGAGAGACTGTTCCCATGCTGTGATACCCAATTCTGACTCCTGATTTTGCTCTTAGCCTGGTATGCATCAAATACAGCCTCCAGCCTGCACTTCCCCACGCTTCTTGTTACGTGAGCTCTCCAATCGGTGCAGAGGCTAATACTCAACTTCTAGGGCTCGGGACAGGAACAAAATGCAGGTTATCTGCAGCCTACTCACCATGTCCAGACCCCATGTAAGGGGTAGTGGCTTACCAGGTACCTACACATTGATTCCACCAGAGGTGACCAACGTGGGGCTAAATAGAACTGAACTCCAGAGGGTTTACAAGGCTGTGAACTTTCAGAAGCAGAAACCAAACCATTCTTCAAGATGTCTCTGGGCCAGCTTCTAACATTTAATTTAGCAATCAAACGCTGAGCCACCCAGAAATTTCTGAGTCATAGCTTTTCCCACAGGTAACAGAACTGAGTGTCTAGTGCCACACACATGAGGGGGCACCCCAAAATACAGAGAAAAAGTTCCACTGGGTGGAACTTTCATAGTACAAAGTTTTCCCACCAGGTGAGCATCAAGGAACTCGCTCTGAGTTAGTGCAACTTGTGACATCTCCTGGTAAGGTTTCTTGGTCACAGTTTTGCTCGAACCTCATTTTTTGTGATGGCCAATTTAAGAGAATAGTGTGTGGCTATGAAATTCTGTTTCTAGCACGGGAAAAATGCTGCAGAAATTGTTGTGATGTTGAACACAGCTTACAGCGATAGTGCTTGTCCTTGTAAAAACTCAAGTGTACGAGTGGTTTTCTTGTTTCAGAAAAGGTGAAATGTCAATTGATGACAAACCTCGTTCTGGATATCCATCAACTTCCCAAACAGATTAAAATGTCAATTTATACTGCATTTGGAGTTCTTTCCACCAGGTCAGACTATTAATTAAGCTTTCTATTCAGAGGTTCTAAAAAAATTATGTAACTGTGCAAAAAAAAAAAAGCCCGATTTGTGGCAGATAGGGGACTGGTTTTGTCACCACGACAATGCACCTGTTCACACAGCCATCGCAGTGTGCCATTTTTTAGCAAAAACCAGAATACCTCTTTTGCCCCATATACCTGACTCACCTGACCTCACTCCCTGCAACTTCTTTTTGCTTCCACATTGAAAAAGGACATAAAAGGACAGCAATTTAGCGACAGAAGAGGTGAAGGGGGGAAAAAAAGAGAGAGAGAGAGGTGCTATCCGTCATCCAAACAGATGAGTTTGAAAAATGTTTCCAAGAATTGAACCACAGATATGACAAATGTAGTAAGTATAACGGACAGTATTTTGAAGATGATAAAGGTGTTTTGTAAACAAAAAAATTTTTATTGCATAGTATTGGAAAAAAACCTTTTTTTGGGGGGGTACCCCCTCATATATACAGGCCTATGCTCATAATAGATGAGAGTAAGTAAAAAACATTGCTACAAAATCATAGCCACCTTTATTAACCAAAAATGACAAAATGAGAAGCCACAGTTTCTTAGCTTATCCTCCATCTCAGACTACACGTCTAAAGGCGGTGTTTACATCTCTCTAGCCCTTCCCCAGAGAATTCTGCATTCTACACTTCATGCCATGCTTCGGCCCCTGGAGGGACTCCAGTGCCTCCCTATTCAATATTCTGAGTCAGAGGGACAAAAAGATGTCTTAAGGAGCAAGCTCAAAGCTGTAAGGTGGGTGGGGTAAGGTTTCCCAATGAAATTCTCCTCGTACAGCCCTGCCGGCCTCAAGAACAAGTACATGCATTGTGGGGTGGAGAGTGAGTCCTTGGGAGACTTTCCTGGCCTTTTCCTCCCCATTGCCATTGTCAATTGCCTTTCCCCAACAGTTTTATTGCATGTAATTTACATGTCATACAAGTCAATAGTTCAATCATATCAAGGGGCATTGTACAGTCACCACCATATCAATCTCAGAGTGTGCGTGTGCACACACACACACACACACACACACCACCACCACTACCATGTGCAACCACAATTAGTTCTAGTGTTCAAAATAGCTTCATAATAAGGCCCCGTGATCATCATTTGTCTTTTGAGAAAATCTATCAAGGTTACCCCTTTGGGGTCCCCACAAAACAGTCACCATAACCTTCATAGCCGTCCCTCTTGGTCTTGACTTTACCTGGCCCAGTTAAGTTTTCCTCAGAAGCCACTCTCTGGACGACCTTTGTTTGAAGACACCCGAACAAGACTAAGACAAATTACTAAAAGAACGTGTCTGCAGCCACTGTGTTTGATCACAGAAACATGCTTACACATGCTTAAATATATATATATGTTTATTAAAAAAAAAAAACCACAATAGCAGTACTTTTTTACTTACCTTCATACACAAATGAGAGAAGTACGTTTACTTAGAACAGCGGTTTTCAACCTGTGGGTTGAGACCCCTTTGGGGATTGAACTACCCTTTCCCTGGGGTCACCCGATTCATAACAGTAGCAAAATTACAGTTATGAAGCAGCAACGAAAATAATTTCATGGTTGGGGGTTCTCACACATGAGGAACTCTATTGAAGAGTTCTGGCATTAGGAAGGCTGAGAACCACTGACTTAGAAGATAAAGTGAGGGGGAAAAATGGTATGATGGTCCCTGGCAGGGTTGAGGGTAGACTCGGCCGAGTGACAAGTCCAAGTTGTCATGTTGCTTTGCTAGGACACACAGTGTCACCCTAGTGTCTCTGGGCCTTATAGTCTGATCACTGATACTTTGCAGAAGGCTTGAATGGTACTACCTCTGCCCACCCCCCACCCCCCCCAGCTCTGCCCTTGCTATGGGAACCTTGGTCCTCTCCCTCCTGTGTCAGCATTATTACAAAGAACAAAGTTATGTCAGGAAAGTGCCTGATGCACTTGTTGATGACATGGAAAAGTGACAATGTTTTGTGCACAGTGAGTGCTCACTGTATAATATTCTTGGCTTGACTGGGGTCATCCTGATGACCTCGAATGTCTGTTCTCTGATTGACCTCCAACCAGCTGGACCCCTGAGAACGCCCTGTCACCTCAGCATTCGTGGAGTTGATGGCAGGGAGGCCGGGTCTACCAGGACCTCTGTGCGTGCTGACAATGCTGGGGAAGATGGTGGAGGCTCTGTAATGGGAGGAGGAGCTCCCTGAGACCCTGCCCCTGAGAGAGGCCATATGCTCTTTAGGGACCTGTCAGGAGCTGACTTGGAAGGGGGAGAGTGAACTTCCGGGGCGCCTTTGTCAGTGGCCTTACAGTTGACTTTGGCTCATAGCATTTAGTCCCGTCTGTCTGAGCAGAACTGAACGAAGACCCATCTCAATGACTGATCTCCCCTAGGAGTTGATCACCAGGCCTTTCTTCCAAGGACCCTCAGGGTGGGCTTGAACGTCCAACTTCTGAGCTGGCACCCTGGCGTGTGAACTGTTTGCACCACAAGGGCTCAGCCGACACGCGGGCCGAATGAAGAAGGAGGAAAATAAATAAGTGACTTCAAGTGTTCACATCAGCTATGTCGGCAAAATTCAGGTAACGTCTTAATTTCATGGCTGAAGATGGACATTCACGGAGGGAAAACAGCGCTCGCAACCACACAATAGATTTAATTGATCCAGTAAATCTACCTGATTCGACCTGGCTTCGAGCCCATGTTTTGTGGCTGCCAGCCTGCGCTGCCAACCCCATTTAGCTTAGAAGCATTTTGCGCAATGGGGGCAGGGGGCAGGGGGGTAGTGACAAAAAGGTTTCTCCGGTTGACCGCCTCACCCTTGTGGGTTCTCCAGCATTGCCATTCCCGGAGTCCCCTGCCAGCTGGGGGTTATGGACTCTAAAAGTGAGGCCCTGAATTGAGAAGTGCACTGCCAAGTGTCTTGTGGCTCTAAAATAAACAGCATCCAATTAACACTGTGGCACTGTTTGTTTAACTTTTGAGTCCAAGGCTTAAAAAGAATCACTTCAAATATTTATGGCCAATAATATTTGTCTAATTAAATGCTATACTACACACCCATAGAATCAGCCCATCTGATCCACTCACTTTTTTTTCTTTACTTTCACTGGGGGCTTTTACATCTCTCTTTTTTTTAAATCATTTTACCGGGGGCTCATACCACTCTTATCAAAAGCCATCCACCTATCCATTGTGTCAAGCACATTTGTACATTTGCTGCCATCATCATTCTCAAAACATTTTCTTTTTACTTGAGCCCTTGTTATCAGCTCCTCATTTTCCCCTCCCCTGCTACACCCCCTCCCTCATAACTTATAAATTATAAACTTATAAAACCCTTGATAACTTAGAAATTATTATTTTGTCATGTCTTACACTGTCCGACATCTCCCTTCTCCCACTTTTCTGTTGTCCGTCCCCCAGGAAGGGGGTTATATGTAGATCCTTATCATCGATTCCCACTTTCCACCTTTCAAGGAGTAAGCCCATTTAATGTTCCAAGCTAAGACTCCAGTGAGTGACCCGCCAAGGCCACTGGGTTAGAACCCGGTCAAGAATGCACGCGAGGGGGCACATTTACCTTTCCGCCTTTGCAGCATCAGCTGAAGCTTGTTTCCACGTATGCCACCTGAGGAATGAAGACAGAAGTCTGTTTCTGAGTTGTGCTGAAGCTGTTCGTTTCTCAAATGCATGCGTCAAGAGTGGGGAGAAAGCACTTCATGCCCTCTCCCGTAAGTTGGCAGTTTGGCCATCCAGCAAAGATCATGTTAGGAAGCTTGGCTTTTCTTACGCAGGGCCCAGCGATGAAGCCACAGTGGACACGGGGATGCTTGCCCACTGTTCTTCCCTTACCCCATAGCCATGCCCTATGGAAAGCTGTTGCTCCTACACTGGCCTTGCCCTTGATGATCTAGCCAAGGTGAAAATGTGTGGAATACCAGCCCCCACAATCAAGTGGGCCCAGGGGCAGTTGTGTAATTGAGCGGTAAAATAAAAGAGACATCAGACAAGATACAGCATGCAAGTGCTCACCTTCACAGTCATGATTTCATGAGCCAGGTCCATGCAGAGAGAGAAAGTATATTTCCAACCAAGGCTTATATACACTCAGAGAGCATGCAAGGCCCCCTAAATAGAGGTAACCACATATGTAACAAAGTGGGCTGTACCCTAACCCTAAAGGCCCCTGAGTATATTGGAGGAGTAACCTAACACCCATGCTCGGGCAGGTAGTGGGGAGTGGCTGTCCTCAGAGGTAGAGAGCTATAGCACATGTCTGCTCCTACAGATAAAGCTGCCGGCTACATAGTAATCAGCCATGTGCTTGTTAAGAGGTAACTTTAAGGTAGTGCTATTATGGGAGGATACAGTGGAAGATATTGTGCCAACCTCGCTGATAAACACATGTGGGATTAATTGAGGGGTGGCGAGATAAATGGCTTGGTGAGCCTCGCCTTTCTAGTTCTCTGGTCTCTTGCTCTCTGATGGCCAGACCAATGTGAGGCTGCCTTAGCTAGTTCTCTGCCTCAGTTTGCGAGGCTCACTTCCTGCGAGACGTCCCTGTGAAGAAGCCACGTTCTTACCCTGATGCAGCCCTGGGAACTGGAGGAGCCACATGGAGACCCCTGCCAGCACTGAGATGATTATAACGCCACTGGATCCAAAGACTTTCTACCCACTGGCCCGTGATCCTGCTGCACTCGGCATCATTGTGTATGTTTTTTGAGTTGGAGGAGGACTTTGTAGATCAGTTTTGGACATAGGGGCTAAGTCGGACTTATGGGCTTGGACTGGACAGGGTTGGGATGCTTTATGAATGTACACTTACCCTTTATATAAAACTCTCTCGTATACATATATGAGTTTCTGTGGATTTGTTTCCCGAGTTTACCCAGACTAACACAGGAACAATATTAATTATGAGAATGTGATTGGGACTCACCTCCAGCTCACAAGGATGAAGACCTCCCTCCACTCCAGAAACCCAGCCTGCCAGGCTTCTTACTATATGAGACTAAAGGATTCATCCATATACACTGTCTTACTGGTCTCTGCTCCCCACAAAAATGTACCATTGCCTTCATAGAGACAGGTCTGCAGTATCTAATGCTTGCCACATTACTCACTGTGCAGAGACAATGGAAACCATAGGCTGCCTGTGGCTAATCCTGCTGACCATGACCCCCGCAGGCTAACTTACTTTTACTCACTGCCATCGAGTTGATTCCGACTCATAATGGCCCTATAGGACGGGGTAGACTGACCCTGTGGGTCTCTGAGGCTGGGACTTTTTATGGGAGTGGAAAGCCTTGTCTCTCTGCCTCGCAGCCCCTGGTGCTTTCAAACTGCTGACCGTGCTGTGGTGAACAGCCCAGACGTAACCCACCAGGGAAACGGACCTGGTTCTCCCTTATGCCTTGTAAGAAGGCCACCATCTGCCCTGTGAATGCCCCATCCAACTTTCACTGCTCATGGTTTCGTGGGTCTAATTAGGCTGTGGCTGTTTCGTAAGTCTAATGTTGGCTTCTGTGGGGTTGACCCTCGGTACATGGCAACCCTGTGTACCATTGGACAGGACCATTATGATCTATGGAGTTTCCGTGCTAAGTTTTTAGAAGTAGAGTGCCAGCCCTTTCTTCCAAGTCTATCTTAGTGTGGACGCTCCACTGAGGCCCACTCAACATCAGAGCAACCTGCAAGCCCCCTCTGAGAAACCAGTGGGAGTGCACTGGCCAGCAACCAACCCCAGTCTCCCACATGCTCACTGCCATCGAGTCGATTTCTCCTCATAGCCACTTTATCAAACCAAGCTCTTTGCCATTGAGGCAACTCTAATTCATAGCAATCCTATAGGACAGAGTAGAACTGTCCCTGTGGGTTTCTGTGACTGCAACTCTTTACAGGAGTAGAAAGCCAAGTCTTTCTCCCTTGGAGCAGCTGGTAGGTTTGAACTACTAACCTGGTGATGAGCAACCCAACACATAACCATTATAGCCAACCTATAGGATGCAGCAAATCAGTCTCTTTGGGTTTCTAAGTCTGTAAATCTTCATGGGAGCAGAAAACCTCATCTTTCTCCCTAGGTGTAGTTGGTGGGTTTGAACTGGTCACCTTACAGTTAGCAGGCCAAAGAGTAATCCACTACACCATGAGGGGGAGAATTCAACCAATGAACCACCACTGGCTCCTGGTGGGTTGAATAGTGTCCTCCAAAATTTCAAGTCCACCCATAGCGCATGAAGTAAGCTCAGTTGGAAATTAGTTAAAGAACTTGAGATGATATTACACGGAAATTGGGATGGGCTCTAAATCCAATGGACGGCATCCTTCTAAGAAGAAAGAGGATACAGACCAGGTGTGTGAAGACAAGAGGAAGGCCGAGGTTGGAGTGTTGCTCTCACAAGCTGAAGACCTGTGTCTACCAGAAGGTGGGAAGAGTCAGGAAAGGACCTTCTCTGGAGCCTCCAGAGGGCGCAGTGTTGGCCCTGCCAACACCTTGAGTTCACCCATCATCTGCAGACCTCTAAAAGCATACGGTTCTATTGCTTTGAGCAGCACAGCGTGGGTGCACGTAAGGCAACCAAACTTTGTTATGTTCAATGTGAGGTGACTCAGTCAAAGGGAAACACAGGCTGACCTGTGTTTACTAATCCACAGTAACCCATTTCTCTTTTTCTGCCACTACAAAGATTCTGCTTCTACAGGATGGCTGCTCGCTCTCCCCACAGGTTCTTGGTACAGGATCAACACCTCTTTAAACTTGCCATCCCTGACAGGGATGGAATAGAGCCAGTGGTTCTCAACCTTCCTAATGCCATGACCCTTGAATACAGTTCCTCATGTAATGGTGAATTATGGCCAACCATAAAATTATTTTCATTGCTACTTCATAATTGTGACTTTGTTACTGTTATGAATCGGGCGACCCCTGTGAAAGGGCTGTTCAACCGCACCAAAAGGGTCTCGACCCACAGGTTGAGAACCGCTGGATAGACAGTAAGCAGGGCAAAAAGCATAGGTTTACTTAGGTTACTTATGACAAGTAAGCTCATGCTTTCCTTGCTTACTGGCTTCTCCGCCCCTGGTTCTGGCAGCCATAGTAAACTAACACACACGGTCAACCAGACATGCACATGCTCCACCACTGGGGTGGGCATTTAGCCTGGGTGTCTAGATAAGTAGAAGGGGGCCTGGTGCCCTAGTGGTTGCCCTCTGAAGGCTCTCCTGGGAACAATCCTCGCTTGCTGCTTACTAGGTTCTGGTTGCCACAGGCATTCTTTGGCTTGTGACAGCATAGCCCCAACCGAAAAGTCAGCCGTTCAAAACCACCAGCTGCTCCACACGAGAAAGATGAGACTATCAGCTCCCATAAGAGTTAGAGTTGGAAACCCACAGGGGGGGATCTACTCTGTCCTCTGAGGCCACGAGGAGTCAGAAGCGATTGGCTGGCAGAGGGTTGGGCTTGTTTCTTTTCTACTATCCTGAGTCATAGAGATGATTCTGCAGCAACTCCTTGAAGAGGCCATGTGCTGGCAGACACTTGGTGGCAGCAAACAGCAAGCAAGTGGAGAGATCTACAGAAGAAAGGAAATAACACATCCCCACTCCCTAGACCAGTGGTTCTCAACCTTCCTAATGCTGCGACCCTTTAATACAGTTCCTCATGGTGTGGTGACTCACCCATCCCCCAACCATAAAATTATTTTCATTGCTACCTCATCACTGTAATTTTGCTACTATTAGGAATCGGGCGACCTCTGTGAAAGGGCCATTCAACCCCCAAAGGGGTGGTGACCCACAGGTTGAGAACCGCTGTCCTAGAAGTTCAGCCCCACTTTGTAGCTCACTCACCTCACTCCACAATCCAGCATTCCATGTGCCGGTTACTCAGTTCTAACCCTGCTTCTAAGGAAGCCAGTGTTCTTAACAGAAAGTAACACGCCTGGCCTGGATGAATCGCCCCTGTCCACCTAGTGAACTGGTCTGAAGATCTATAGAATTGTTTGCTTCAAGTTTCTACATGAGAAAACACACCTCTGGTTCTTTTATAAGAAGGTATAGAGTTCACCTCATGAAAGGTGAGTCCACAGCCACAAGGAAAACAAGCAAAACGCTGGCATCTTCTGTCCGGATGTAAGGAAATAGAATCTGGGGGCTCCCCAAACCAAACTCACTGCCAGCGAGGCACCTGGGACTCCTGGGGACCCCAGAAACATGGTCAAATGGCCCCTTTGGGTTTCAAAGACTAACTCTCACGGTAACTCCTCTTTCTCCCATGGAACACGTGGTGGTTTTGAACTGCCGACCTTGTAGTTAGCAGCCTAATGTGACCAGGGAAGAAATGCATGGAGATGGCGAGAGACGATTTTCTCGGGCAGAGGGGACTGGGCAGGCTTGTCTGGAAAAGTATTGAAAGCTGTGTCTGCCTCTGCAAAGGTAGTTTTCTGGGCCTAGGCATCTAGTTTCCACCAGAACCTCAGAAAGTTCTGCGATCCAAATGAGATTAAGAATCTCTGCTGAAAGCATTCACTGTGTAGGTCAGGGAGAGAAAACACTTTCTGAGCCCAAGGATCTCAAGCTAGTGGTCCACAGCTGCACTCTGCCTGCAGATGCTTTTTATTAGAGAACCCAGCATGTGCACACAGGCTCAAGGCACTCAGCACACCTCACGGTCCGTACACGGCCACTTCATCAACTTCAGTGAGTCACATGGTCCTCTGGAGGCAGGCATTGGAATCTGCCTGCCCTCTGAGTGCTACCCTCCGCCTTTAGCATCGTCCCTGCCAAGCAAGGAGACTGAGGGTCCCAACTCAGAGCCGGGATAGGTAGCTTGCTAGGACTTCCTCAACCTGCTGAACCTGCAGGCACGGATTTTCTGAGTGGGGTGACCACACTGCTGTTTCTCCCGGCCAGTTCCTGTGGATATCTGCTATCCCGGCTTAGTTCATGATTGGACTTCTTTTACTCTTTTAAGTGTTCCTTCCAGCCTGGATGATATATGGTCCCTCGAGTCTAGGGGCTTTCATGACCCAGCCAGAAGTGACTTGTGCAGGCTCTCTGGGGATGGCGACATCCCTGGGGTGGTCTTCACCTCTTCCAGAGACTGGCTGCACATCTGTGCCATGTGCAGCAGCCCGTTCAAGAGCTCCAGTGGTTTCCATGGTCTCTGAGCCTATTGGTCTGGGTCTACCCATACCAATACCATGCCAATAGTGAACAAGAAATTGCAGTCTTAGGCTATGTTAATCAAAGGGTAGCACCTTGAAGAAGAAAACTCAAGCAAATCGTTGCCCTACTTTTGCTTCCAACACAGCTTTGATCTGACCATCCTTCTACTCTGCTGTGCAGTTCACACAGCAGATCACATTCAGAAGCTCATTGGAAAAAAACTGGACTTGTGGTCGGAAGAGTGTTCAGGGTGGACAGGGTCCAAGCATTGGCTCTATGAGAAAAAATAAAAAGAACTTAGGTGTTTGACCTTGAGAAAAGAAACGTCTGGGAGGAGATCTGAGGAATGAAGAGACCACTCTGTCTTCGATTAGGGCATATACAGTAGGGCAGCCGTCCAAAGATGGAGTACACCAAGAGTTACCGCAGACGGATGGACTTACTGTATTTCCTCGTATATAATGCTCCAAGTTGTGGGGGGCGGGGGGCATGTCTGCCTACATCATAAGCAGCACTCATAAAACCTAACATGACACGCTTGCTATTTGTTATAAAATACGGTCACTAGACGGAGATGAGCATTCACCATGAGAGCATTATTTAATTCTATGAAGGTGGGACCACTCTTAAAGTTTGCTTCCAATTTTAAGGCTCAATGAAAAATAATCTATGAAAACATTTGCCAGAGAAGACAGCTAAGTTCCTTGGCAGTGATATTAGCAGTCGTGAATATCTTAGGATTTGTTGATCTCTAGCACCTCACAGGATAGCACCCACAGAAGGAAATGCCATTCTTCCGTCAGTTTGACTTCTGGACAAGTGCTTAACAATGAATGAGTGGGATGTGGGGCTGTTGAAATACACATCGGTTTTAGGTGTTAGTGAATTAGTGGTGTGGCTGCGATTTTTTGAAGCAAACGTATAACAGAATATTTGTGGGAAAATTCCATTCTCTTTTAATTCCACTTTTCAGTGAACTTTTAAAAGCCCCTTTGCAAATATGTGTGTGTGTGTGTGTGTATAACTATGGCTCTAGAAAGCTAAGCCTCACCAAATATTATGTTGCCACTGTGCCAATTATTGCACCAAACAAAACCAACCTCACGGAGTCAGTGCCGACCCTCTAGGACAGGGTAGAACTGCCCCTGTGGGTTTCTCAGACTGTAACTCTTGGCAGGAAGAGAACGCCTCATTTTTCTCTGGAGGAGCAGCTGATGATGCAGCCCAACACGTAACCACTATACCACCAGTTTTCAGGAGCCGTCAAATACTGCATACTAGACTATGAATATTATTAATCGGTACCAAACTGAAGTTGTTTGAATAGAGGAATAAATAAACCCCCCTGAATTGTGGGTTGTTGGTTTTGGGTTTTTTACTCAATCAGCTGTTCTTTCGAGGGGTGAGTTAAAAAAACAACTCTGCCATCAAATGTATTCTGACTCATAGCGATCCTATATCAAGTGTCTGAGGCTGTAAATCTTTACGGGCCCCAATAGTCTCATCTTTCTTCCATGGAGTGTCTGATGGGTTTGAACCATCGACCGTGCAGTTAGCAGTCCGATGTGATAATAGATATCCGAATATATCAATGCCTAATTTATCTGGTATTCCATCTTCCCAACCGTTTCAGAATTGCAAGATTTGCCTTTGTAGGTGCTCTTAATAAATTGATCAAGAAAGAATGGTGGTCCCCCCCCCACCCATTTATTAAGTGTTTTAGCATAAGACATTTGGGTGAGTCTACATAATCTGCAGATTTTCGTGTTCTGTCATAAGAAGTTACTGTCGTTCAACCTAATGGTGCTAATATTTTCATTAAGACTCATTACTGAATTCTTGATATGAACTGAATAAAACATGTCCTGAACAGGAAGGACTTATGCTCGAAACTCACTGCCATTGAGTTGATTCTGACTCACAGGGACAGGACAGAGCTGTCCCTGTGCGTTTCCTAGACTGTCTCTTTACAAGAGTAGAAAGCCTCCTCTTTCTCCCCAAGCCGCTGCTGGAGGTTTTGAACTGCTGACCTTTCAGATAGCAGCCCAAAATGCTTATTCAGATGTACTACTTAAAATGCGAGTGACAATGAGGGGGAAAGAGGTAAGCCATGTAGTGGGAAATATTGGTTAGTCTTCCTCGTGTAGTTAGAACAGTAGTAATCTCTGTTCCCCTTATTGTTCAAGTGACTAGAGGTTCCCACACCCCACCCCTCCCCACCAACCACCAACTGTGAATTTGGTTTCCAAGACTGTTTTGAATATGCAAAGTACAGAAGCTGAGCAACTACGTTTACTCTCCATTTACACTATACAGTGTCCAGTGTCCACAGGCTTGCAGTGGATAAAACACAAACATGGAAGCAGAAAAGGGCCCTGCTGGTGCAGGACACAGGATCGATGGCTTGACTGTGAGTTTACTTGGGCAAACCATTGAACTCCTTCCAGCACTCCTTAGCAGTAAAATCAGGGTCAAAGAACCTGCCCCAGATTTGTAAGAAGCAAAGGCACTCATGTACACATGAGGCTACTTGTGAATGGCAAAGCATCATACCACATTGTATTTGGGCAGAACATACTATTTCTGATTGCAGTTCTTCAGAGATGGATGGGGGAAGGACTTGTCTGATTCCAGCACTCATTGCTCTTCTACTCCATGTACAAAATGAGCCCTCTCAGAAGCAGGAAGAGGGATCCCATTACAAGCAAGAGCCAGGATTGGAGCAAGTCCTCTAGATCCAAGAACATCCTGGATCCAGAGAACAGTTATACCTTCAGAGTAGCAGCAGCCGAGCCAGGAGCCAGAGCACAGAAGAGAGTGATAGACATCCCAACCCATGGAGCAAGTTAAGATGAGTTGCTTTTGTGCAGGAGCCTGGCTTGTGGAGTAGGATGCCTCTGGGCACTTAATTGGGGAAGCTGGGCTTGCTGACCCACAGAAGTGCAGCTGAGTGCCTTGGGGCTGAGGCTTACTGGAGTGAGGTGCCTCAAGGCACTTAATTCAAGGAGCTGGGTTTGCTGACCCACTCACTAGCTCCACTTCCTGAGCTGAATGCTTTCAGGTTGAGGCTTGGGGGATGGGGGTGGAGTACACCCCTTTGGGCATTTATTAACAGACTTGAAACTTGGTCACATGTCGGAGTGAACAACCACCCTGGGCATTTCTCACTGGCATTTTTAACTTAACTTCGTTAGTAAACCCTTTAAGCATGCGGTTGTCTGCAAGTTTCTGTGCCTTCATTGCACCAATGATGACGGCAATTAGAACTCAGAGAGACGAAGCAGAGAAGTAGAGACTATTAGAAACCAGAGAGGTAAAGCAGACAACATTAGTCAAAACGACACTTATCCAAGTCTGCTCTCTGGCTGTTGACGCACCCCCTCCCTCCTTAACCTCACATCTTCCCTGGCTCAAAGATCTGTCCCTCCCTTTCCTTATAAAGTGACCCTACATTCCCTGGGCTCAGATCACCATCCACCCCCTATTTGCTTCATTTGTGGTACATGCTTAAAATGTGCACTTAAAAGAAAAAAAAGTTAAAAGGAACAGGACCAGAAATTTCCCGCAGATTTACTGAGGTTTCTGAGGTAGAAGAATGTGTCACCCATCTAGGGGGTGAAGACTGGCCCAGCTTTGGCAGGCCTGAAACTTGACCTTGCTGTGAAGTGCAGCTGAAACTCTGTTGCCTAGTAACTGCTGGAAAGGAATGGAGGTAATGATGCCCCCCCACCACCACCACCACCTCCACCCCTACTCCCCTCTGCCCTCGAAGGCACCCGACCTGCTTAAAGTCCTATGGAGGCCCCCTTTGCCCCCTCTTCTGGCTTCAGGAACACACCTTACCCCCTCTTGATCTTGATCGCTGGGCTGTTGATCTTTCCCACCGTTTCTCTGCAGACTCGGGCCCACTCAAGCCCAAGTGCCACTCATTCGCTCATATAAATGCAAACCCTACAAGTCTCCCTAACAACTCTTTCCCGCCACCTCGGCTAAAGATAAGATCTCTGCTGGTGCCGCCTGCATCACTAATTTCCAGTCCCCGGGAACTTGGGCAGCACTACTTTGAATCAAGTCCGAACTTCAGCCAGGACCCCACTCTGAACTCACCTGGGCCCAGGCAGAGCAACAGGAGCAGCACCAGCCCGCTCAGGGCCAGGACGGCCGGCCGCGCGGAGGAGGCGGCCATGACCGCGTGGCTAAGGACGTGCGGAGCAGCAGGAGGATGGCGGGCGCTCGAGCCGTGTTGCGTCCAGACTGGAGGGCTCGCCAGGAAAGAGGGGCCTTATCTACCCCGCGTGCGCGCGCGCGCCGGGCACACGCGGGCAGGCGCAGCTCAATTCGCTCCTTTCATCCCTGCCCAGCCCGCGGCGCCGCGCCAGGGGTCAGCTGGCCAGGCGGCCTGCCCAGCGCATTGGGGCGAGCGCAGTCAAGCCTCTGTGGTGCCCGCGCTCAGCCCAACCCGGGTCCCGGGCCCCAGCCCCCAAGTGGCAGAAAGCCACGGGGACAAGTGGCGTTCCAGCAAACGGGAGGGTCTGTAGGAATCCATGAACAGGGAAAATGCTTTCCAGCCGTGGGGGTGGAGGGATGGGAAGGATGGGCGGAGGAAGGGCTTTAAGAATCCCAACTTTGGTTTCTTTCCTACCCCATTTTCCCATCTGGCTCCAATCTGCTTGCCCTGTCTTGTCCTGCTCTCCTAGAAATTCCCGGTTTATTTCTCTGCCATTTCCCATCTTTCCAGGCCCGGCCTTTGCTCCTTCCTGTCTGTGCTTAGCAAGTCGCCTTTGCGATTCCCTCCCTTCGCAGCGCTACCATTCCAGATGCCTCCGCAGTGCTGCGTGGCCTTTCAGTGCATCCATTTTGAAAGACTTTAGAAAGGCCGTCCCGGAAACCATCCCCCTTCAAATCGCACCGAGGGCAAAGACTTTCAGAAAGCAAGAAAGGGGTGAAGTGCTCGGCCCCCTGTGCTCCGTGGAATCCGTGCGCTTGTCAACGAGGTGGATGCGTGGTCAAATGACTTCGTCGATTCCACCTCCCGGCGACCCTGTGCACGTCGCAGCCCCACTCTATTAAGTAGCAGGAAGGGAAGTCGTTAGAGCCCTGGTGACCTAGTGGTTGCATGTTGGGCTACTAACCGCAAGGTCAGCTGTTCCAAAGGGACCTTGTAATGTAGTGGCGATTGAAGTGTATTAGAAAATGTACCTAGGTTATCTGCAAACACTACGCCCTTTTAGATAGGGAATTCAGCGTCTTCAGGTTTGGGTCTCCCTAGGGCTCCGGGAGCCCATCACCAGAGGACACCCAGTGACAGAGAACTGAACTGTTTCCCGAGATTTTAGGTGTGAAAACAAAAGCCTATTAAAAATGTAAAAAACGCCATCCTGGTATAGAGGACCCAAACCAAACCTACTGGCACGGAGTCCACGCCCCCTCATTGTGACCCTCTAGGTCAGAGTTGAACTGCCCCTGTGGAGTTCCCAGACTGTCAATCTCAAAGGGGTAGAAAGAAAGCCTGATCTTTCTCTCCGGAAACTGCTTGTGGTTTCGAACTGCTGACCTTGTGGTTAGCAGCCCAAAGCATAACCCACTCCACAGAGGACACATAAAAAGGCAGTGATTAATGGAAACTGAGACAAACTTGGCCTAACTTCTCCTGACCTTGAACACATCACAAAATTAATCTCTCGGTGCCTGTCCACGAAAAGGTGGCCATGAAAAATTGCCTTTAGGACCCTTCCAATCGAAGATCTGATCTGCATGGAACTCAGTTGATTGCCTTTCTTTTTTTTCAATCTCCTTCTTCATTTAATGGACCTTCCAGGGGAAAAGTACATCTCGGCGAGTAATTAGCTCCTCGTGTAATGCAGTGGGACTACTCCTCCAGGCAGCGAGGGAGGCATCTTTTCGCCATTGAGCTAGAAAAGGCAGATGGTAGGTGAGCAAAGAGAGCGGGAAGGAGGCCGGAGAGAGTAAGGATGCGCAGGCTGCCCCAGAGTGTCAGCCAGAGCATGCTCTACGCGCAGTGAGTGTGGGGGAAATGCTCTGCAGTCCTGGGAAGCAGCCCAATGGAAGGTAGGATTAAAAAAAAAGAAGCAAGTTGGCATATGTTTATTTTTGCTCAAGAGCAAGAAATGTACTATTAGGAAGAAAATAAAGCAAACAGAAAGCCAACTTTCTGTTTGGATTGGTTTAGAACATAAATTAAACATACTAATTATAATCTTTTATTTATCTTGGGGACACCAAGCTCCCCTCCACCACTACCACTCCCTGGACCCTCCTCCACCCCCTCCCCCAAGCAGAATATGCGGAATTAAATCTCTTCTAGGATCTGATCAGAATCTCATTGATGTCCCCAATGAGGACAGTTGTCCCTGTCCCTGGATTCTGCCTCACCCCAGCCCCCACCTTGGAGCAGCAGATTTGTATCTCATGCCTTCTCCTCGTGTCCTTCCCTGCTTATCATTAAAAACACGGGCTGGTCATTTTATTTTTGTTAAGCATTCCAGGGAGGCGGGTGGTCCACTTTAATCAGCTCACACAGCTGTTAAAAGAAAGTGCCCATGCCTCCAGCACCTTGTAACTGCAGCTACACTGCTCTCGGTAGTGTTCGGCTGCCTTAGCTAGTTCCCTGCTTCAGCTGGCAAGGCTCACTTCCTGTGAAACATCCCTGAGGAGAAGCCACATGGACCTACCCTGATGCAGCCCTGGGTGCTGAAGCAGCCGTGTGGAAACCCCTGCCAGTGCTGAGATACTTACAGGCTCACTGGATTCAAAGGTTTTCTACCCACTGACCTGTGATCCTCCTGCACTTGGCATCATTTTATGTGTTTTGTGAGTTTGAGGAGGACTTTGTAGATCAGCGTGGGACATATGGGTTAAGTCAGACTTAGGGGCTTGGACTGGATGGGGTTGGGATGCTTTCTGAATGTACACTTACCCTTTGTATAAAAACCTCTCTTCTACACAGATGAGTTTCTGTGGTTTTGTTTCCCGAGTTTACCCAGACTAACACAATCACCATTTATATAAGAGAAAAAGACTCTGAACAACTCTCTCTCTCTGCCATTTTGCCTTCTTGCCTGCAAGAGCTCTCTCTGTCTGCCTCGTGGGGTGGCCCCACTTGGGGCTTCCTGACTGTGAGAGCTCTTGGCTCCCTACCAGGTTTCCACCAACTTTGGATCCATGCAGCTCTGCATGCACCGGCTTATAATCTTTCTGCTTCCCAGTTCACCATTCTGCGTAACAGGCACTCAATGAGGTCAGGCTGCAGAGGGACCTACAGACTAGCATGTGGCCTATGGACTTGAGTTGGACTGGGCTGGGGCTCCTTCTTGATGTAAGGTTGCTTCTTGATATTAAGTTCTTTCTGTACACAGATGAGTGTGCCTAACACAGTATGGAATCCGAAATTTAAAAAATAATTTTATTGGAATATACTTCACATGTCATACCATTCAAGCCTTCATTCACATTAAGTAGATTTATGCAATCATCACCCCAATTAATTTCAGAATATTTTCTTATACTTGTCGCTGTGAGTTTTTATTGGACCTACATTCGGGGAAGGCCCTCAAGGAGAGCTGGATTGACACCATGGGCTCGAGGATAGGAACCTTGTGAGGATGGCACAGGACTGGGCAGTGTTTTGTTGTTTGTGCAAAGGGTCACTGTGGGTTGGAACATGAGCCCTAACAACAACAACAAACATGAAGAAGAATACTTCGATCATCATTTTAAATGTAGAGTTGGTAGCACAAATCAAGAATCCTTCCGAAAATTATTTTAAAGTATTTAACCAATAAGATCACAAGAAGAAAAAAAGAGAACATTACTGAGAATTAGGCCCTGAGTCTTCCTCTCAGGGAGAGGATGTGGAGAGCCCCCTCTCTCCCAACCCGCTGCAGCTCACACCCGGCAGAGGTGGGGGCCACTTTTCAAATAAAGGACAATGATTAGAAAGAATTGTCAGAAGAGTCATGGATTAGAAATCTTCTATTTGAAGCTAAGTTTACAATTGCTGACCAAGAAGACAGCAAGGATGATCATTTGATGTTAAGGGTCCATTTGTGAAAGTGGTTGGTTTATAGAGGATTTTATAGGCATGTTGTAAGTGGGAGCGTCCCTAGTCTCTATAGTCTACAAGGAGTCCTGGTTGTGCAATGGTGAAACACTTGGCTGCTCACTGAAAGGTCGGTGGTTTGAACCTAGCAGTGGCTTCTTGGGAGAAAAGATCTGACCATCTGCTTCCACAAACAGAGTCTAGGAACTCTATGGGGTGAGTGCTGGCCTGTCACGTGGAGCTGGCCACTGTGACTTGAAAGCAACAATAAACATAAAGAAGTGTTTTCTCCACCTATCTCGTTTAACCTTCTTCAAATTTTTATTCACGCTGGGCCTGTGCTTTTGATACTACCTCTGGGAGTTTCCTCTCAGTTTCAGGCAGACATGGAAGAGTTAAATTTTAGAAGAAGATCAGGAAGGGAAGTCTACTTTGAGCAGACCCCGATGGACCATTAACACCCCTGGGAAGATCTCCAATTATCACGAGTTCTTTCTGTAAGAGTTTATGAGGTGTGATGAGAGCGCAAAACAGTTCTATTAATAAACAATAAGTCCTCTGTGCCACCTATCACTCGCTTCACCTTCATAAAGGGCTGTGAGACTCAGTGCTCTAACAGGAGACAGTATGTAAGTTCTCGAGCCCGCTGATAGCTACAGTCCCTTCCATTCACTTATTGGTTCAAGAGTATTTAATTGTACAAAAATTGCCTATATTTGAAAGACTGTGAAAAGTCCTTTCCCTCCTGTTCACTCGCATCTGTCATCACCCACGGCACGAGACTTCCCTTTTCTCCCTCTGCTAAGTCAGCCCTATTCCTTATTCCAGCCTGTCTCAAATCTCGTGTGAAAGTCCCAAGGTGCTTGTTCATGCACCGTAACATTCCGGAAACTCTGCCTTCGTGGGTTTTGGGGGTGCCAGGAGTTGGAATTGACTCCACAGCAAACACTTTGCTTCTTGGCTTTTTTCATGACTCTGTTTGGTGTCCCGTGTTGGGGCCCCGCGTTGTTCTCGTTAGATGCCGTCTAACAGATTGTGATTCACAGCAGCCTTGATTGCACAACAGAATGAAGCACTGCCCCGTGCTCACAATCGTGGTTACATCGGAGCCCTTTCCTGCAGCTGCGGTATCAGTCCATCTTGCCGAGG